TGCGCGCACCAGTGAGAATTGAGAGATTGTAGTAGAAAGCTCAAATGGCTTGTTCGATGGCTTGGATTGTGACTCCTAAATACAAATACATGATCTTACCACCATTTCTTCTATATGCCGTTGGGAGACGTGCTTCTTATATTACGTATATATTGAAATATTTAGCCTGCAGTATAATCCTTCTATCCTACGAATCATCTTCCACCTCTGGCCCCCTTGGAACCCTAGGCTCTTCATGATTGCGGTCATATCAAATATGGCTCATGAATTTCAAGCTTGTCCATCTGCCGGCTTACCGGTATATGCTTCTCAAGGTATCCTACGTGCCTGAGTCGGCAATTCCGAATTTAACCACACGAGTCGGGACAGGTGTATCCATTGGAGCGGTCTACCAGTATCTACACCCTGGCTGTATCATTGACCAACAAATTTCATGAAGTATGGATAACCACGATAATAATACGTATGCTACAATCACTTGGGCAATAGAGGTAATGGGATTAGTTCCGCACATTCAGAAATTCAGTTCTTGCTAGAGAGAGCTGGGGCAGGCGGATATCAGAAGACGATCACATTCACACTTACCATTCAAACCACTCGAGCCACCTACCCCTTTTACTATTTCTTGGCAACATCTTTGTTATATTACTAGTTTCATTAAACTTCACTTTCATAACTTTATTGCATGACATCTAACCCCTCTGCGCCGACAGATCACACATCAAACTCAAGGCTACATGTAACATCTTGTATCATACTCTGTTTAGAGAACATGGTTCTAGGGTGTTGGCGTATTTATTGGAATAGCAACGAATGGGTTAAAGTTCTGAACTCTGTCATTATTCTCATACTGATCCCCAATAATGATGTGCCATCGCGGTTGTTCAATGAGTGGAAGCAGTCTCGGACATCGCCTTAGTTGGGTTTGTTGCACCTTCCTGGTCAGCTAGCTGGGACTTTCGCTTGCGGAGAACCGTCCAGGCGACGGCACCGACAACAAGCAACGAGGCAATAACGACACCCACGGCGATACCTGCTGTCTGGCCAGCCGATAAACCACCGCCATTGGATGAGCTAGAGTTTGTATCTGCCGCCGCGTCTTCCGAGGTAGCTGTGGCACTTGACAGTGCAGTGGAGGTGGACGAATCGGGTGAGCTGAATTCAGCTGATGTCACGTTGAAGCAAGGGACTTGGATATCAAAGTCCGATGCCTCAACAAACGTCTTTGGGTAGGATCAGTGGGAGTCATGTTATGAATGGAGGGGGGGGGTTTGGGGGCTAGAGCGCAAGCTTACAATATCAGCACAGGCATAGAAGGTCTGGTTTTGGCCATTGAGCTCATCGTCCACGCTTGACCAATACTCTAGTTGAATAGTTGCGTTGGATCCCGCAGCGACGGAGTCGGGGATCTCAGCGATCTTGTAGCATTGGTGACCAGGCTCGATGGATGAAATGTCGCTGACAGCCTGTTCGGTGAACTGGCTTTGGGTAGTTGGGTCTGTAAGCTAATTAGAGGTTGGTCTGACAAGATGTAGTTCTAAGTAGGTACGTACCATCGTCAAACGCAAGCGAGAAGACAACATTCCAAGCATCATCCGCGATGCTGAGCGCAACAGATCCTTGGGCTGAACAGTGAAATAGTTCATTAGCTAGGTGGGCTTAGATAGTCTCGTCTAGGTATGTATGTGAACTTACAAAGCGGGAATATGGTTCTGTTACTGGGACCGCTGGAGCTGCCACAAGGGGCAACATTGTCTGACGAGGCGCTCCAGGGACGATCTTCGGGCCACAGGAAAGCGACAGGCCCCATTACAGTACCTTCAGCACCTTCCCCATGAGCTTCATCGTCGCCTACAGCGAACTGGCTCCCTGCCACAGCAGCCAAAAGAGACAACTGGCTGAGCTTCATGTCAGGCTGATCAATAAGGAGGCAAGGTATCCAAATTTAACAAGGAGAGTATATCCCGCAGTGTGGTTTAGAGTACCTCGGAATACAGAGAGGGGCAGGTAAGTGCAGATGGGCCTTTATAAATACCTGACCTACCTATTCAACATGGAAAATCTTATCTATCTCACGGCACGGACAAGGTGGGCAGCCCATCGGAAACCTGGCAGAGCAATCGCCAAGGCCAAGGCACAACGGACCCTCCTTCGCCGTGATATCGCTGGGTTCCGATTTCGAACGAAGGTGGCATCCCCGCACCAACCATGTTGATGTGGGATTACCACCACAAGTGATGCTTCGAGAATACCTCACATGCCAAGAAAAGCGCTTCTTGGCTGCAGTGCAATCGAGCCGAATGAAAACTGAGGGCTACACGCCAAGGTTAGCTTGTGATGTCTGGTGGACAGAGACAGATTATCCGAGGTCGGAGGGCTTGTTTTCTTGTAAAGGCCCCAATAGACAAGATGTTCTCATATGGCCATGACGCGCATCGTCGGCTTGCCGACCTCGAAGATGGTGTGATTATTAGCAGTTCGTCAGACCGTTCCCCCTTGGCGAAGAACCAAGGTTACCTACCTAGCCTAAGGTTAGCACTATGTACCTAGTCGCCGGTTTTATCTGATGGCGCTAACGAGGCCAAGCAGCCAATCGCCGGCAAGTGGGTACAATGCGATTGGACGACATTTATCGATCTAATCTAATCAGATCTAATCAGATGCTTTGGATGGTCTAGGCCAACTGCCACTGAGGAGTGCCCCAGCGTACTTGCTGTGACCTATGTCCACCGTGCTTGGTTCTTCTTGTTAACTGATGATACGATTCATGTTATGTGCTAGTTAGTAATAATTTGGCCGAAAAGAGCAGCTAGGTAGCCGAGTAGCCGTTTTCATTGGCTTATTGGCTCCTTTCTGGTGGCAACCCAAGGAACAACTAAATTGTTCTTGGATCATCGCCCGAATGGACTTTTCCTAGGTACCTAGGTACCTATTACCTATGTCTTATTAGAGACCTAAGATCGGACTGATTGATTGTCAGGAGATTCGACGCCTCAGAAAGCCGAGGAAAAGCCTGTCCGCGCTGTAGGATGTTTTTTCTTCTTTCTTTTTGAGTTGGAGACTATTAATCCTGCTCCTGTTCTTGCGAATACGAACTCAAGCCACCTCATCTCCGAATGTCGTCGCCCGGCTCTGGTTGAAATGGATCCGACTCCTTGATCGGAGCTGCATATACTTGGCAAACATGCTCCCTAGAATCCTTGCATTTTGCATACGTACTCCTATATCATCTACCTACCTATAAGATGGAGTGGTTTCGATCTCTGCCTCTCTAGAGAATTCCTACCAACACAGCCAGTTACTTTCAAAAGCCAACTGCCAAATCAACAGCCGCTCTTTTTATCGTATACATCCAAGATGATCCCAACTTTTTGGCTTCCTGGCCTTGTTGCCGCCGCTGCTGTAGTCTCAGCCTCTACCGATGAATTCCAGTTCTTCTCTCGCTTGCTCAAACGTCAGGAACCTGGAACCCCGGCTTACAATTGCCATGATAACTGCGGTAGGCACATCACCCCCCCCCCCCTTTCGCCCGCTCTGCGGGACCCTAGAACCTTGGAGGCACTGACTTTTACTAGGCCAGGCTATTATTCAAGCACGGCAGAGTGCCGATGTTTGTAATGACGAAATTTTCCTAACGGACTACCAGAACTGTCTTCAGTGTTCTGGACCTGACAATGAGAACATTTGGCGCTACTATGGAAACACGCTATCCAATACTGGCGAACAGTGTGGTCTTTCTACTGAGCCACTCTCTGGGGACCAGCCCGACGTCGGTGCTGCTATCGCTGCTGGGACATCATCTACCACTAGCTCATCCGATGAGGCAGCCTCTTCGACTACATCTGTTGCCTCTTCTACTGGGGTGGTATCAGCGAGCACAACCGCGGGATCACCAACTGAGGCCACAGGAGCTACTGAATCAACTTCGGCATCTACCCCTACTGCTACTCAGGAATCTTCTTTGACGAGCGCCTCCGCCACTGTTTCCGCATCTATTACCCCTACTACCACTGGAGGTCTCAACGGAACAAGCTCATCTACTACCGTGAGTGTTCTCTCCAAGATCTAAAATAAATTAAGCTAACATCACTCAGGCTTCTGGAACCGCAATCGTTACTGCCGCTGGTAATGCCCTGTCGGTTGATACCGCAGCCTTTTACGGTGCTATGATCTTTGGAGCCCTATATATTGCTCAATAGTAGCTAGCTGTAATGATACGACCCAGCTTAGGCCAGAGGGGCTATTTACTTTCACTCAGCCATATATAATATATTAGCTATGCCATTAGAATAATCAGATATGGTAATATAGTTCCATAACAACCATGAAAATAGAAAAGGTTGATTTTAATACCACACTTATTACGTATAGACGAGTATGGAGATTTCATTAACATTTTGCCTAAATATTACTTCTTTACTCAAAAGTTCACGCCGTAACCAACATATAACGATTAAAAGTAAACCAATTGAGATATATATTTCTGATGTGCTGTGAAATGCGCCTGAAGCCTAACGGGAGATCCTTTGACATGGAAACTTAATATAACGACGCACTTAGTAGACTATTGTTAGGATGAGTTTAAGGAGTAATGGCTTCACCTGTAAGATACTGCGCATTCAACTGTCCCTCACTTTTAAACCAGAACTGCTTGCTTGAGCCCTAAGCACCTCAGTGGAAGTTTCGCTTCCGAAAGTGCACGAATTGTTGTTACAAAGTACTATCATGGCTAAAGCTGTTTTACTTACACAGTACTAGAAAGGCCTGATTCATGAACGACTATTAAAACGGATGCTATGTTTAAAGCGCGTAGAAAGGTAGTTTTATTAAACTTGAAAAATTTAAACTACTATTTTATTTTAAATATATTAAGGGTTTTTATATATATATACTAGTGACGTAGGTAAATTAATATAGGTAGGTATATATGCAGTGTCGTTAAATGCAAAAAGAGTTCAGTCCAATAACATATAATACGCCATAAAGAAAAATTGTATCATGCCAGCTTGGCCGAGTGGTTAAGGTACGTTTTGATTATCAGAACTTTGTTGCGTCTAGTACTAACAAATATCTAGGCGATAGACTTAAGTTCTATTATCATATTGATGCGCGGGTTCGAATCCCGCAGCTGGTAATATTTTTTAAGCTACGCAAACATGGCAAACAGTTAAACCAATCATATAAATTTAATGTTCATATTGCCACATTAATGTTCCCACCATTATTTCTCCTTTTTAATCTTGTTACTTAAAACATTTCAATTAATTGTTTTATTAATAGTAACGCAAATACTATGTGTAATATGCATTAACCCGCTATAGCTGGGCTGTTAAAAAGTATTCTTATTATATCATTTAAACAGTTTTTAAGTATCCGGCTGAGCATATCCTATTATCATATATCGTGCTATATAAAGATGCTTTATTAGCAAATATATCATGCTAAAAAGCGTTAAACATAGTACCTTACATGGCTTTATTACAAACAGTAATAAGATGGACGTAGGATCTAGGAAATTATATTGCTTATTTAACTTTTTCCTTATACACTCCTTGAATTATCGGTTGTCTTATAGTGCCGTCTCAATGTCGGTAAAGCTACTGCGCTGCTAACATCCGTGCCGGGTTACTTGCACAAGAAGCATACTATTATTGCTGCCCCTAGATTAGGAGCTAATACTATACTCCTCGACTGCTTTAGCTATGTTAGCCTATGTGCTAAGTCCTAGTATTCTAGGCTAGAAATGAAGGAGGAAGGTTACATTATGCTAGGTCAGTATACTAGACAATCTTGCCACTGAGCGTCTCCTTGACCGAGAGGCTTTGCAGGTGGTTGAATAGTATAAGCTTCCCGATGGAAACATGTGTGGGTGCGTTGCCATACTGTTGACCGATAGATAAGTTTGGTCAAGATGTGCGACAGTAGCACCTCTACTCCGATCTTATCTGAGGCTGAGAATGACATATAGGGGTTAGTGTGGAAACTGACATCTCGAGAATTTCACTTCAAGAATCGGTTAGCCATCGAGAAACGTCCGGTCAGGCTTCAAGTAACAAGCCAGGCAGCTTTGGCACAGATAGAACCACCTCTACCCGAGTTTAAATTTACTTCTACCGTCTAGAACAATCTCGGACCAACGGACCTTAAGCTCCCTAGTTAAAGCCAGAAAAAGGATACCCTCGTAGATGCACTAAATTCCCGATTTGGTACTGATGTGGTCTCAGTATTTCACAAGGACTAGATCATGGCGTTGAACACTTGATCATCTCCATTTTCAACTGCGACTAGGCGCCAGGCACAGATATCATACCGCGATTTATCCATAAATATTTACATTTTACACTGCTGGAATGGGCGGTTGAGCATGGGAGGATAGATCTCCCCAAAATATCCTTGGATAGGGGCGCTGATACAAACTGCACCATTTGCAAGATTCAAATACCTGCTCGGATAAAAGCAGTGAGGAAAAAGAACCCAAAAATTGTGAGTGCCCCCGCGGACGAAACGAGCCGTGTCTCCTCGATTAGAACCTTAGTTCTGGCCATAGACTAGTAGGATATCAACATTCTGTTCGTAAACGGTGTTCGCTGCAACTTCGAGAAGTTAGACCGGCTACCCTCACTTGACCTTACTAACTTTGATCACTGTACCCTTGGGGAACGACCAAAATTCCAGGCAAAAGTCCTCACAGCTCCTCTTGCACGAGTAGCCAAGCTAGGAGGTGCGGACATGGTGCGTTTGCTGCTTGCACACAGTGCTGATGCCCACGTTAACTACCTTGTCCTAGCGAGTCGCATGCCAACCTTGCGCAATCAGTTTGGCTCGTCCTAGGTCACACTTGACCACCGGTATCCAGATCTGTATACCTCAGAGTAACAGCTGGCCTGAAAGCAACATCCACAACTAGAAACGGAAGAAAATGAAGCCCCATTGGTCATGGCAAGGTTATACACCCAATGATCATCATCAGCATCATCATCATTTCATCATTCAATGCACATATGTATAAATATTGAATGAACTTACCTAAATTAACCTAGGTATTCCCTTGTTGAGGTACTTTTATAGTTGGAACGGGCGAGATTGGTAGAGAGCTCAGTGACCAGATGGTGAGAGTTGCTACTACGATGATGGTAAGATATTCGATAACTGAGATTTTCCACGGAAGGGCGTTCTCGTTACGATGGACAGGTCCTGGATTTGAGCCACACTTAAAAAGAGCCAATCTGTGTGGGCAAGAATTCATAGATGCCACCGCTAACAGATGTGCACGCTGAATGGCCTTTTTTCTTGTTTGGGTTACATATGTGTGGCTCTAGCGATTTTGCAACAACTTGATTACATCGTTGGTTGAACTTATATACTCTTTGCTACCATTAACACTAATAACCCCCCATTTCAGGACACTGCGTGTAACATTTCCCTTATTTAGGATATACTCTGACGGTAGACAGCCCTTTTAGTTCCCTCAAGGAACATATTGTCTAGAATAGAACCGGCCGTCTGGTTAGAGACGGTCAACTCTAGGTAATGCTGTACGCGCCCGTTACTCTCCGACTTCCACTCATTTTGGCCATCGGGATAAACGTAATTATGCCCCCCAAGGTTCGCAAAGCGAAACACCCTCCCCAAGCCTTCGATCGCATACAGCATCGTCAACGGGTCCCAAGAGTTTCTGGGTTTGTTGTATCCACTACACTCCTTTTAGCAATAGTCATGACCCTACACGCCGGAGAAGAGTAGGACGTACTTGTACCATATATAGGCTCTCCGTACCGGGTCGTTTTCTGGGGCTTCTAAGCTTAAACTTGCTCCCGAAAACACGTAGTTCCCCAGTTCGGACCCGGAAAAGGTCATTGTAGTAGGCCAGTTATTAACCACGTGAGCGGTCGCGGTGGCATTGTAGCCAAAGAAATTGAATTCGCGCCCAGAGGGGTACGAGCCACCCATGACGACAAGCTCTCGGACCTTGGCCGTCACCAACTCGTTCCCTGGAAGAGTCGAGTATGCGTCACCCCGGGATGCGAGGAGCCCCGAAAGCTACAGGTGCGCAGATCATATTAGCATTATATAGACAATGATTACTCTGCATAGCACATACGTTGTCGAGAAACCCAATGCTGGCTATCGTCACACTTTGGTCGTCCTGCTCTGACAGAAGCTTTCTATACAGTTCGACAGGGTCCCATGTCGAACTGGCGTCTGCCCACGGAAGAGATGCGTTACCCTGCCAGTGGTAGGCGACTTTACTGGCATACTCGCCGTTCTCGTAAGTGTAGTCATCAAAATATGTGACATTGGAGAAGGGCCGCGCCAGGCCTAAGGGGACATGGGAGTGATTGTAATACCCCAACAGACTGGACGCTGCGAGGCCAGTATACATAGACGGGTAGTTGATGTTCACGCCTAGGAGATTGACATTTCTATGGGTAAGGGCCAGGAGGAGTGCGGCTGTGTCGCTGCGGATGATCAGCATCAAGCAGGGGAAAGTGATTCATTCGCTTGGCCAAAGACTCACTCAACGTCGCTGAATAAATCCGTGTCGATAATTAAATTCTTCTGGGCTACGCTCTCCACAGCGCGTGCACTGAGGAGAAGAATAACAGCAGTAAAAAACCACTGCATGGTCCGCTCGATAGTTGTTTCTGTACAAATACAACCGGCCAGGGCGAGATGGAATGCAAACATCTAGTTCTTCTTATCTACCTACCTACCTAGGCCACCTACATATATAGCTTCGGCATGAAGGCTCCAGGGAGTCACATGATCTATCTACACCGCGTCGGCTGTTGTTTATATTACCGCTTATCAGTGGATATTGCTCCGATGTAGACGACCTAATTACTACCTAGTCCAAACACAGTATATGGCGACAGGATCATGGGTCTTTGGTATCTGCTTTTCTTCTGGTTAAAACTGCAAAAAGAGCTATGTCGGCTATATTCCGAACGCCGGATGTACGTATTACGCTTGCAACTTTTATCTACTTCAACCTAGCCTAGCTGTTGTTGCCCCTCCCCCCCAAGGTAGGTATGAAGGTAAACATAGAGAGTTACTATAATGCAGTTTTATATGTTAAGAGGCTATTTGCGTTGCATCATAACATTCTTTCCTCTCTTATTGCAAACAGACATGCACTAAAAATGATAACATTATGTACCTAACGTAGAATTTATTGCTTCATATTAAATGCTTTACTTCACGTCAAGTATCTACAGTCCCACTTCAATGCTGACTACCTACAGTGAGGTGAAATAAGTATCGACCAATTTTTTTTCCAGCTTCAACCACCACAACCACCCTCTCACTTTAACAATGCCTCCTTCTGCATCACATAAAGCTATTAAGCTAAAAAATAATTTTATATGTATTTTTATAAGCAACAGAAAATTGCAGTTTTTTTTATACCCTAAAAGCTATTTGTAGTGTAAAATTTTAATGTTCAAGTGAGAGGGTAGTTGTGATAGTTAAAGCTGGAAAAAGAAATTGGTGGATATTTATTTCACCTCACTGTACCTAACCATAAAACATAATGTTTCGTATTTCTTAATGATATTTATCAAAGTGATGCCCATATCGGATTATGTCGTAAACGATACAATGCATATATACTTACTTAGCTTATCGCGTACCGTATGTGTTCTTGCATATGTACCACACATAAGGGCTAATTGCCAGACAGGCAACTTAGCGTTCGCTTTTGTCTCATGACTAGTTCTTGGCGAAATGAATTGAAAATGATGTCAAGCACCTTCAGCTGACCAACACTTACATTTTAACAACAAGAGTTCTCTTGATGAAATATATAGGCAGACATAGTAGGTACCTACCTACGCAGGTAGTTAAAAGTCCTCATGCATCAAGCAATTGCTCGCACAAAGTCAGTAGAAGCGGTTGCTGTACTACTTGGGTTACGCGATGACATTATAAACTAGTAAACATGCTATGATTGTTATTCATGTATTAGGGAGCTCAAAGGCTGGTTCTGATCAGATCAGATCTTTAATATTTCAATTTCAAAATACCTACAGAACCTGTATAGATTACACAAGCCTGTGTTCAAGGGATGTACATGTTATGCTGTATACCTACCTACTTTTGAAGTATACTGTAGTTGATCGATACACCAGGCAG